GGAGGAGATTACGAACGCATCGTGACCGATTCGATTTTGCTGGGACTCAAAGCGGAGTGGCGGGCTTCGCGGGTTCGCGTTCGCCGAGCGATATGGAGTTCGAAGGAGGAGAGTTGGAAGGAGCTCCTGAGCGAGGTCGACGCGGATCCGTGGGGTTTCCCATTCCGCATCGTGACGAAGAAACTGCGGAGTTCGTCGGGACCGCTGACGGCCGGCATGACGGGGGAGTTTCCCGCCGAAGTCATCGCGGAACTCTTCCCGCGCGTCGCGCTTTACGCGTTCCCTCCGGCGGGCTTCGCCTTCGACCGCGATCGCGACCGAGTGACCGAGGGGGAGATTCGCATCCTTCTCGACGCGGCCTCTAAGAAGCGCTCGGCTCCGGGCCCGAACGGCGTGCACTACCGGATCCTCGGCAGATCCGTCGAGGTGATGTGTTCGCGTCTTTCATCGCTCTACACCGCGTGTTTCGAGGAGGCGTCGTTTCCGAAGCAGTGGAAGTTGGCGAACCTCGTGCTGCTAGAAAAACCGGGTAGGGACCCGTCGAAGCCCGGCGCTTATCGGCCGATTTGCCTTCTCGACGTGGAGGGTAAGTTGTTCGAGCGCGTCGTCGCGTCGCGGATAATCGGTCACATGGGGGCGGACGGAGGGAGGAACGACCTCTCTCCGAATCAATACGGCTTCCGGTTGTGCCGTTCGACCATCGACGCGCTCGTTCGGGTCCGGGATGCGATCAAGAATGCTCTGCGCCGGGGCGGAGTCGCGATCGCGGTTTCTCCAAAAAATCTCCAGAGACCGGGCTTCTCCGAGATCCCCCCGCAGTCCCTCCGCGTCTTCGTCGTTGCCACCTCAACAATAAAATCTTCTTCTTCTTCTTCTAAGCTACGAGAATCCGTCGTCGCAGCATCCGCCGGAGTCGTTGCCGTCATCTCGAGCTTTTTTTTACGCAGTGGCTTCCCTGAAAAGAAAGAACAGATGCCGGGGTCCACGTCGTATACCCCGAGATTGGTAGGGAACAGGTCTGCTTAAGAATAAACATCCGCTGTACCTGGCTTCCAAGTAGCTGGATTACAGGAGCACGCCACGACTCCCAGCCCCATCGACGGGACACCCTGACCCAATGTTTCCGCCGGCCTACAGGGTATTTAGAGACTTGTTCTCGATGCGCGGCGGTTGAGAGCCGTTTTCCCCGGTCACAGACGAAGAGTCAGACTTGTACCTTACCAACCTTCCGGGGAGAAAAAAAGTGTGGAACTCGGCACTTTTCTTTCAGGGTTTCATCATCCTGATCCGGGCAAACGGGGATGCGAGCGGAAGGACAGCGTGAAGGTCTTCTTGCGTGGAATGAACCGAACTCTCTTTCGCGGGGGATCAACTCGTCTCCGGAAACTCGTCATTCTTGGAGGATGGTTCGCATGCTTAAGAACGGTGCGTGCGATTCATCCCAACGGCAGAAAGAAGATGCAAACAAAGATGAAGATCGGGACGACGACGGATCCGACGATGAAGACGACGGTCGGGGTCTGGCAAACTTTCGGTCGTCGCGGGGTCGTCGAGGGGGGGGACGATGATTAATGTTTCTGATTTTTCAGGTTCATGTCTTCGGTCTTTCTTCCATCGTGGTAGCAGCGGCAGGGGCGCGCAGGTGAAGGAAACGGGCGGTCCGGCCGGGAGTAGCGAACCCGTCCGTGTCGTCCGGTTCCGGAAGCTCGCGTCTCCTGCGGCGGAGGCGGGAGCGATGTGGCAGGTCGCGAACGTCTTTCGGCGGCGTCGCGATCGCCGTTTCCATCGACATCAAAAACGCGTTTAACACGGTACCTTGGTGTGCGATAAAAGACGGGCTAACGTCGAAGTCCGTGCCCGATTGTCTCGTGTCGGTGATAGGGTCCTTCCTCTCGGAGAGGAAGATCGCGTACGAGAAACCGGACGGAACGACGGGAAGGGCGGACGTGTTCTGCGGCGTGCCTCAGGGATCGGTTCTAGGACCAGTCCTGTGGAACGTCGCCTACGACCGCGTCCTCAACCGGACCGTTCTTCCCGATGGCGTATCGTTGACTTGCTACGTCGATGACACTCTGCTCCTCGCGACCGGTCGCGGGTGGGCAGAGGTTCGCGAACGCGCCGAAGCGGGACGGTGGAGGCCATCCGGGACACCGGTCTCCGGGTGTCTCTGCCGAAGACGGAAGCTTGCGGGCTTCATCGTCCGCGAAACCCGCGTCCTCGCGACTTATCGTTAACCGTAGACAACGTAAGAATCGGATTGGGGGGCTCGCTGAAATACTTGGGTTTTGTTATCGATTTCGGTCTTCATTTCGGGAACATCTGGCGCACCTCGGACCGAGATCCGAGCCGTCAGCGCGACGTTAGGACACCTGATGCCGAACCTGCGCGGACCGCAGGTCAAGGCCAGG